ATCGCCAAAATGCTTGAAGTATGTGAAATATACATAAAAGCTGATTTGTTCCTGGCCAACATAGTTGTAATGCATTACAAATTGCATTAGAATCATCAGTAATAATTGTTACTGGCCCAATATTTGGATTGCGATCAAAAAAAGCATTTTGTGGTAAAATAGTCTTTAGCATATTAATTGCACGCTCAATAGTAATTTCCGTCTCTTCAGATGTAAGAAAAATACCTAATGGTAGACCACCTGCAATGCAGCTTGTATAAAGAAGAAAGATTGATATATTAAGTAGATCAAAACTAGCTGATGCATCAAGATAACATAACTCTCCAGCTTGTCGGATCTTTTCATGAACTCTTTTCATAAGTCTAGTAACAATACATAAAATAAAAGCTGTGCTTTTTTGAGAATTATATTCTTGCAAATAAGCAGTTTCTTTTCCAGATTTATTATATATATCAACCTCTTGCTTAAGTCGTACAAACATTGCAGCACCATTTCGCTCACCATATTCTTTTGATTCAAATATACGATATAGTCTTGAAATATATGAATAATCAGGATTAATGGCTCGATCAGCTAACATAGTAACTAGTTCTTCATTAGTATTTGCACTTAAATGTAAATCATCTTGATAAGTATGCCAAGCTGATGCCGCATTATGCCCATTATGAAATAGTTGATAATATTTATCATTTGTACTATTATTTACAGGTCGAAACCCAAGTGCTTCTGCAGAATTCGTAACATAATTATGTATAAAATTGAGCTTAATTTCTAGAGAATACATTTGCTCTAAACGTGAACATTTAATTCACATTTCCAAAGAAGCTTTACAATTTGTATCACGTGCACGTTTACTATTAACTCTTTTTGGCAATGGATTTCCTTGCTTTTTTTTAACCTCATGACTGTGCATGCAATGCCGTAATTCATGAAACAAAACACGTTTGCCAGTAATTTTAAAACCACGTGAAATTCGCATTGTAGTTTTAGTTTTTTCCTGAAATGCTACTAGCCATTCTTGTGCTTTTTCTTTTGATTGAATGTTTGTAAAACAATGGATATAAAATTGCAGAATTTGGATACCTTCATCAATTTTAATATTAGGTATTTTAGAAAATTCTTGAATCAAATAATTATAATTTGAAGGTAAAAATTTTCTAAATATTGTAAAAGTTCATTGCTATCTTTTTGAGTCATTTTAACAGTTTGCATAAATTCTATATTAGGTACTTGTAAAGACGCTTCCTTAACTTGTGCCATTCTTATTCGAAAATAATTAGTTTGGGATTGAAGTCGAATTTATTTTATTTATTAACGTTAATCAAATAAAAATTTGAAATTGAATTTTTTTTTTAATAAAATATCAAATGATTTTATTAATAATCATATTTTAATGATTTTTTTTTTTACGTTGATTAATTCGGAGATCGGAGATTAATAATAACCTGTCCCAGATTTTTTATTTGCTCTCTATTTTTACTGTTCAAGTTTCTTTTTACCATTAATATTCATTTTTATAATATATATTTATAGTCAAATGATTTGACTCACGTTAAACAACTAACATAACTACGTCATAAATTTAGGTAGTGTAAATTCGCCTTAGTGGTACAATTATTATTATTGTATCTCGAATTTTAGTAAATCGGCCAATCTGATTGCAAAAAAAGAATATGTTATAAGGCGAAGCGAGAGTATTAATTTATCCGTTAAATTTACTCTTGTTTCATAGAAAGTTAATCTACCCGAGCTTTTGATTTATCAATTGTGTAATTATTCGGAATCATCTATGAATTTGAACTTTCATTCCTATTTCATTTTCAAACATTAGAGTAACTTATTTCGAAAAATAAGTGGGAGTTTAAAATTTCGACTCAGGGAATCAAATAGGTGCACATGTTAATAAAATTACCGTTCAGATTGGGCTAAAACACCCAAGGTCTTTACAATTTAAGCTGTATATATGGATAGTATAGCCGGAGGGATACTATGGTCAGCGTAGGGGTGTATAAGTTGCACTATATGAGCGCTGCGGTAATATTTTATATACTAAATATCCGAGTATTTTACATACTCACGTGCAATTAATCCGTCCTTAATACCTAGGGTAAATGATTATATAAATAATTTTATACGTTAAAAAAAATAATATTTGTGGATCACATGTTTTGACGTGAATACATCACTTATTTTATCTGCCCTATTCTATTTATCGTTATTAAATCATAAAATTCTCCAAATAACGGAATGGACGACATTTCGAAAATCGTGACCCCAAAAATATTGTTATATGTTAACAGTCCGATCTGGTTCAATCAAGTCTATTCAATCGGGTCTGGTATTAATGATCATATTTTTTAATTTAAACATATACATTTAAAGACTAGCTATGAGATTTAGGATTATAAAAGCAAGAAATTTACATATAATAATTATAAAATATACAATATTATAAGCCCCAATTTCTTAAAAAAACTGATTTAAACCGATTAAAGTGCAGTAAATTTAAAAATGATTTGTTGAAAGAACCTAATCTAACTATTATTATAGAATATAAGTACATATTGATGATAGATGTTTTATTAAATCGAAATATTGTACAAATTTAATTATATTTTACACTAATTAAAATAATGGTATGAATGATTATTTAGAACAAATTGACATAATATAATATAGTATATAGTACAGTAAACTAATAATATAAACTATGAATAAAATATTTTAATTATGCTACCCTAATATCGAAAGGTATATTACATTACTACAAACAACTTTTTTTTCTCCAAATGCATACCTATAAATGCAAGTAAAGCTCTGTTACATCTTGTAATAGCATCTAGACCGCATCCCCTTTTAAGTGTAAACTTGTAGCTAGTCCCAAGAGGATGTATTCAGGGAAGTCGTCCGTATACGTTGTCTTAATCCAATCCTTCGAAATAATCGAAAGAGAACTTCGAATGCAATATCAAGTATAAAACCAAGAATACGACACCAAAAGTGAATTAACTATTAGTTTCGAAGATGTTAATGAATTTTTTATGTATATAATTTCAATGATGATGTCAGCAATATTTTTTTTATAGGTGATGCTAGGGTCGTTACCTCAGAATGCATTTATAGTAACTCGTAATTCCGTATTTATTTTCACTCATAGCTTCGTTTTCTATAATTACTATATCTTCAATCCCATCCTCATCCATGACTTCAGTTTCATTTTTATTCATATCTTCATTCATAATATTATCTTTATCTTCATTCATAACTTCATCTTTATATTCATTCATAACCTCATCATTATTTATAACCTCATCTTTATCTTTATTCATAATTTCAACTTTGTTTATAACTTCACTTTTATCTTCATTCATGGCTTCGTCACCATCTTTATTCATAACCTCGTCTTTATCTTCTTTCATAACTTCACTTTTATCTTCATCCATGGCTTCGCTGTTATTTTTATTCATAACTTCGTCTTTATCTTCTTTCATAACTTCGTCTTTATCTTCTTTCATAACTTCGTCTTTATCTTCTTTCATAACTTCGTCTTTATTTTCTTTCATAACTTCACTTTTATCTTCATTCATGGCTTCGCTGTTATCTTTATTTATAGCCTCTTTATCTTTATTCATAACCTCATATTTATCTTTATTTATAACCTCAGCTTTATCTTCATTCATAACCTCAGCTTTATCTTCATTCATAACCTCATTATCATCTTCATTCATGGCCTCACTTTTATCTTTGTTCGTAAACTCATTCTTATTCTCACTCATAACTTCGTTATTGAATTCATTCACAACTTTATCCTCATCTCCACCCATAACTTCGATTTTATTATCCTTCTTAATATCATCTATAACTTTGATTTTATTATCCTTCTTAATATCATCTATAGCTTCGATTTTATTCTCCTTCTTAATATCATCTATAGCTTCGATTTTATCATACTTCTTAATATCATCAACATTATCCTTAGCGGAATTCAATTGTCTCAGTAAATTAGCCGCTTTTTCATAACCATTATCTGCGGATAGTTTTAAATACTTCATTCCAAGGTCCTTATCTGATTGTACTCTAAGTTTTCCGTTAATATAAATATCCGCCAAATAGTACATTGCATTAGCGTTTTTATTATTAGCAGCCAATTTAAAATAATGTATAATTTCAGTTCTGTTCTCTTCTTTTTTAGGTTCAGGATCATCTTTTTTAAGTTCTGAAAGTAATGCAACTGCATACCGACATTGTGCATCAGAATGATCATTATCTGCTGCTTCTTTAAAAAGTTTTTTTGCTTGTTCCTTATTTATTTCTATAACATCATATCCATAAGTTAAATAATATCCTAACCAATATTTTGCAATTGGATCACCAAGTCTAGAATTTTCTTCGAAACAATTCAAAGCAGCTTTGTGATCTCGACTTTTATGAAGTTCAATTCCTTTTTCAAGTGGTATTAAAAAATCAACTGGTAGACTATCCACTTCCGTTGTTTTTTCAACTTTTGTTGCTTTATCTTGCAAATGAGTTGATAATGTTTCAGGTACTGGAAAGTTTACAACTAATTGTTCAAGTTTTAAATGTAAGCTTGTAAGAGATATTCGCTGATGTGGTTTATGATGCCACACTATTTGTCAATTAAATAAAATAATGTCAATATATCTATATGTAAATAAAATAATGCTCATTTTATTTATTTAAAATAAACTTACTCTTGTTAATAATTTTAATAAATTCTTGTTGAATTTCTTTATCATTAGGATTATTAAAACTTTTAAATGAAAGCTTTTCTCGTTTACCACTTAAAACATGATTGGAAATTTCTTTAACCTCCAAATTTTCATAAGGCAACTTTTCATACCAAAGTTCCCATATTAGCATACCAAAACTAATTTTTAAAAATAATAAGTTATTAATGAGTGAGTGAACGTAAATATGAGTGATTAAACAATAAATACCTAAACATTTCACAACTAAATGTGTATGTATTTTCATCACGTCTATATTTTTCATATCTTTCAAGCTGTTCGGGGGCCATCCAACGAATTATGTCTGTTACTAAACCTGAAAGATTTCTGACCTTCACATTCACATTTACTTCACGAGTACATTTGAAATTTCCAAGTTTTGGAATTAAATCATTTGATATCTATAATTTTAATACATTAATAAATTGATTAATTCTCAATATATCAAATCACCCAGTTAATATAATTTTAATTATATTTACAAAAATATTCCCGCATCTAAGGTCATGATGAAAGATATTTAGTCTACGTAGAAATACAATTCCACGACAGATATCTCGAACAATTTGCATTTTCCTAGTCCAAGGAATATCGTAAGTGTTATAAAGCTCTTTTAAAGTTCCATGATAAGTCCATTCAATTACTATCACTTTAATATTATCGACTCTTGAGAGACCATAAAAACGAAGAATATATTGTGATTGTAATTTTTCAAGAATTGATAATTCAGTTTCTTGATTCTTATAATCACCAATAGGTTTGCATGCAGCTTCAAAATCACCATATAACTTCTTAACTACACGACCACGATGATTTTCAATTTGAATAAGAGGTTCAACTAATTCATCTGGATGTATCCGTTTTGCATGAATATCATTTGGTTGTTTAGCCGTTTGGATTTTTATTATGGATATTTCTTGAGCTATTATATCGATTTTTCGATTTTCCTCGCAATCAATATTTTGAAGAGTCTAACAAATAGATTAAAATAAAATTTAATTATCATTTCCTAATTCTAAGCTCTCAAATGTCTTCTTTTATTTTTCTTAGTGATTTCATAATTCTCATTTCACTTATTTTAGCAATTTTTGTTTTTTCTCTTGCAGAATGTTCTTGCAGAAAAAGACATGTTTGAAAGATTATGATATTTTTAAATATTAATTATTACTTACTTCTTCAACTTCTTTTAAATCTTTATCAACCTTTTCGTCAAAATTGCTATTACCTTTATTAACGACTTTTAAGTCAAATTGTAAACTCTTTATACACTCATCAAATTCGTTAATTAATTTTTCATATTTATTCTTAACTTCTTTTGCGTTAAGATACTTTTTATAACCTCTAAATGTTGATATATTCCTAGTATATTCTTTAATATTCGTTAGAGCAATTTTAAAACTTTTGAAATTCATATAATAACTGTTTTGAATAAAATTTCTCATATTATTATCAATGTCTATCATCATTATATTCATATTGAATTCAGCCGTTCTTACTCTATTCATTATTATAGAGCAAATTTCTTTATTACATTCTGCATTCTCATAAATTCTAAGTATATCATTACCTAGATATTTCACTGAATTCATTAAAGGTATATAGTGAGATAAAATTTCAGTAACAGATAAATTCATCATATAATCTTGTTTTTCTTGCTTTGATTCCTGTTCAATTTCCATGATTATAATTTTATTAAAGTTCTTAAGTTATTTGAATCTTTTAAATATGTGTTATCTTTGAGTAAACCAAAATGTTTTTAAGGTTCCCATCGCAAGTATTTACGTAAAAAATAGTTACACAGTTTACAATTTATAATCACCTGTACTTTGTATCGCGACTACGTATACGGAAATCATTTACTTAATTTACGGCATTATTGATCCCGATAGTTAAACTTCCGGGTAACATTAAACCTTGCATAATAATCAGCATAATAGTCAGTATAATAGTAATTTTACTGATATTCACACATGTACAAGATGATGATTTAAAATGGAAATTTTATGTTGATATTTGTCATTCTCGTGTTACTCATGTATCTTTTCCTATGATGCCCAAAGAAGCTTGACGTTAAAATTAACGTTAACATTAAGTAGAAACATATTTCATAAAAACTAAATAACAAATGCACCATCAAAATTTCATGAAGTTTCGTTGGTTATACTTGCATATAAAATTGAGATTAGTTATATGGACTTATGTAGGGCCTCGGAACAATCGGTCCGGTTGATCAATTGAACTATCTACCAAATATAGCGACGGATATTTTATTTAACTTTACCGAAAACCGAATACTTTTCCATTCAGAAAACGTTTACTAATATTCATTCTGAGGATTATAAAACTTTTCGTTTTCTTTCTCTTATTTAAAGATTTATAAAAGGCTATGACTTTGTTGACTTTTTTCAAAAAAGACTATTTGTTTTTTTGTATTAGCATAATAAAAAAGATATGAATTTTTGATGCAGTTAAAGTACAATAAGGTTACTGTTAAAGTATAATAAGATTACTGTTAAAGTATAACAAGTTTTCAATTTTACTTCGGTAGATACTAGAGATAGGAACCGAAACCCAAAACTACGAGTTTAGATTAGAGTTAGGATATAGTTTAGGGTTTATGTCTCTAACCTAAACTTGTTGTTTCGGTTCCCATCTCTAGTAGGGCACTAGTACTAGCGTAATTTGCTATAATTTTTTCCGTAACTTTTAGTAACTTATTATAGTTATTACATATTGCAGAGATAGTTACGGCAGTTTCACTTGCATGTCTAGCGCTAGTAGTTACGTACGTACCTTAGATTGGTTAGATTACAATTGCCATCTAAAGTTAATTTTGATCTTGTAGAATGATTACTAATTTCTCTTAACCTGAAATTACAAGTTTTATATACTTAATGACAAGTTATACCATAAATACAATCGAATATCTAATAGGATTCAAAGTCACTACAGTTTTAATATCAACACTGAAATAGCAATTATTTGTAACGCTCTATAGTTTGGTTATTTACGCAGTAGGGATGTGATTGATTATTTTATAATCGTTTATAGAATTAGAATTGATTCATATTTCTGTCTAATCGTTATAATTCTTTGTATAACCGATTACATATTTTTAGAATTAATTTTAGAATTAGAATTAATTCTAAAGCACCATCAATTCGGACTTGTGAGTCGATAGCATAGTTGTTGCGCTCCCGGGTCCCAATCGCAAGGGTGCCAGTTCGAGTTATACTGACGGACAAAAATCGAATCAGGATCATAATTGAAGTTCAGCCACATACTCTTATGGGACGCTTCAAGGTAAATACGAAAAACAAGAAACTCCCAGAAAAAGTACAGTTCCGGTAAAATCCGGTTGTGGAAACTAGGAAAAAAAAAGCAATATTCACAGTATTCGAAAATCCTAATATCTCCACTTTCAGGCAAGAAAATATAAATGGCTATGTGTTTGTTACTGAGAATTATAGGGCGCATTACTTTATTAATACTTTAAGCCTATCGCTATAATTTTTATTCAGTCATTTGTTAATAGCTGGCTTTTTAATGCTATAAAAATATATACGATTGTAAAATGAACGGATATAAGGAAAAATGAGGTGATTTGGAGCTTCTTTCTCGCACTTAAGAGTCGTAACCAAACATTCTTAATATTATGCCCTTTAAATAACTTCTTGGAAATATGATTAAAATATTTGTGACTATATTTTCTTGCAGCTGTTCACATAAATTCTGGGACAAATTAAAAATCTGCTCGTTACCTGAGATAATTTTGGTTTGACCAGAATGAAAATTCAATTATTCTGATGTGGAAAGTTGAATAAATTACAAGACGAAGCCGAAAAGATTTCTGCTAACGACAAATTTTTCAATTTGCCCCAGTTTATGAGAACGGTTGTAATGATTTCGTTCAGAGCATTGCTTAGAATTTCAGCACACCCCAACGTAGGGTACCTATTATTGTGGCCCGTCTCGGCTCACATTTAATTTTACAATTGTTTTCATAAATTCTGGAAAATCTGTCAAAAATTGTATTCGCCGATTCGACAAACTATTGATTCGAATGTGATTACATCCGAATCAAAACTTATCGAACAGGCAAATATTCGGTCGGTCAATTTTTTGCTAGATTTTCCAGAATTTATGAAACAGCTGTAAAAGTTTTGCCGGTCCGGCCCGCTTATATATCTAATTTTCTTCGGGCTGGCCCGGCGCGAATATATATGGGCTAGGTGCTGCAAAAAGGAAGTTACAAACTTCACAACAACAACAACTCAACTGTTATAGATTCTCAAAGCACTTTACACGCACACACTTGCAAATCTTGTTCACGAAAGTATGAACATCGCCACCCGATGAAATCGATTGACCATGTCCAAATCGATTATCAATATCCTTTCGAAGATTGCGAAATGTGGTTAGGCAATGACCCACGGAGGACCATTAAGCTCAAAGTCAACAAACGCAACGACAATCACCCAAATGAGACACGGTTACAAAAATGTGTCCGGATTGGTCATCGCGAAAGCGTGTTGGAGTGTGACATTCCCCAACATTACCGCTTACAAAAACCGCGTAACAACAAACGTTACGATCGCGCAGTCCCTTAGAGTGAACGTGCCATCATTGAACTGATGGTGCCCGGGGTACAGGCAAAATGTCCTTGCGAACGGCGCGCCTGCAGAAATGCATGAGGCAACAAGAAATCGGCACGTACCAAAATTAATATATTGACAGAGGTAATTACCACAAAGGTATAGGGGAACAGCGAAGAAATTCATCTCAAAAACAAGTTTGTCCCCTCAATTACACCATGACGTCTGACCAGCTCAAAGTGCTCCATGAACGATTTCCAGAATGGCACTTTGAAACCAGCACTGGCGGACATGACCATCCGATCGCTCACACTTCAACCATGGTCAATTCATACATGTTGACCACGCGCATGGCGAGTCGTTACAATTGTATCATGGACATCTATGGTAACCCTACATATAACAACCGGCTCTTGACCCCCCAACACCGCATTGTGACTCAATGCTACAAAATGGATGATGGTGACCAGATCAGGGAAAACACCAAACCAAATTGACAATTTTTTCAAAACTTTTTTTTTAAGCCTAACTAATACAAAATTAGCTCAAGAATATTTTTTTACTTAAGAGACAAATACTGTTATCTTAATAAAATTTTGCTGTATAACTCTTTAAAATTTGCATTTTCTTATTATTTATTATAAGATTTATAACATAAAAATTGATTTTCTGAAGATCTTTTTTTTTGTCAATTTCGTTCCTTTTTGCATATATTTTTCTTCAGGCCGGCTCGCCCCGGCCCGGCCCAGCACGCAAAATTTATTATATAAAGTTTTGAAAATTTTTGGTCCGCTCTGGCCTGCAGTTATAAAATTCTGCTTCAAGTCCAGCCCGCAAAAATCTACGTGCCGGGTAGGGCCATGGAACCCAATGCAGACCTCTACTCCAACGTGTATCTTTAGCTTTGCGTTTGTTTATTCAGTCGATTATTATCAATTCAGCTAACAAACCTTATGTATCATAATTAAAGGTTCAAGTTTCGACCTTTGTGGCATCTTAATTATATATTTACAAGATTTATGATGCAAATCAGTCTTATTTCAAAAGTTCTGAGATATTATTTATTGTGGTTTGTAAATTTTTTTAAAGTTTTTAGCAATTTATTATATGCATAAGGACTAATAAATTATAGAAAAATTTTGGTATAAATTGATTTTAGTATAAACTGTTAAAATAATTCATATCGTATCTTAATTTAGGTACTAATAGCAAATATCTCAAGCAGATTTCTGTTGTTACTGTTGATTTGCACTTTTTTTGGTCCTAGTATCATTTTCAATAGATTGTTCATCTAATCTGCTGCTTAAATGTTTCTTTTTATAATAAAGGTGAAGCTATATTTTGAGTATCCTCTTTTGGTCATAGATTATTATAGTATTTTTACTATTTTCAGTTTGATATTTCAATCTTAATTGGTATAATAGTTATATTGATATGTTTTACTTACTTTGTTGTAAATTTTTATTTATATTAGTATGATTAAAACTTTAGCTTGAAACTTTTAGATAAATAGAACAAATTATGTTTTCTATATATATAATTACTTCTATTTTTAAACATTTCATATCATCAGAGGTACTTTCCAGTCTTGAAATGATCATTTCTTTATTGCAAATCTTTACATTTATTGTTTCTTTTATTATTTCAGTATATGTTACCTTTTGGTATTATTATTATTATTTTTTTAAAGATGATTTCTTTAATCTTTTGATTTTATTAATAACCTTTTTGGTAATGTAATTTTATGAACTACTACAGTAGAGCATACAATTAGTTAAATGCATAACTTTTCTATATTACCTATTTAAGGAGTTCACTTAAATACTTTTCACCAATTGCTATACCTAACATCTCTGCTTGGATGTTCCACTTTAAACCTTCTGAACCTGCAACTTGTATTAATATTATTGGGTCATATCCAGATACTTAAATCATTGTCTCAATTTTAGTACTATTTTATTTTTAAAATAAACTTCTTAGAACCTTTTTATCTTTTTTATAGTAAAGCTAGTATTATTATAACAAAACCAACACTTACAATTAAAGTTTAACTATTAAACTACTGTGTCTTTATAGAGTTCATACATACTTCAGCATTTACTTTACAATATATCCAAAATACTTTAGTATACTACTACCTTTTTATCAAATTTCCAATTTAAATAGTTCATATAGGATTATAACCAGTTTATCAATATATTAGATTAACTTAATATCATTTTCCTCTGTTTTGTTTAAGCAACCTGATTGGTAATATTTCTAAAATTCTCAATCCAAAGATTCTTATCTGTTTAGATACTACAATCTTGGTATCTGTTTCATAAGACTAGTCTTTACAATAGAGTTGTTAAAGATTTGATTACCTCTCTATTCAGATCATTTTAAATGAAATTTTTGTTATCTAATTTTAACAAATTTACATGACTACAAGGACTTATCTAGTGTTTGCATTATCTAATTGTCAGTTTGCATTTCTTTGTATAATTTCATACTTATACAGATGTCTTATGACCTACCAATCATACTAATATAACTGCTATTACAGATATCTTAACCCAATTATTGATAACAATTACTATAATACAAATATTACATAGGTGATTATCCAAATTTTCATTGTTAATAAAATTTGAACATCTAACTTACCACTTAGAAGGTTGATAATCTGACTATTTCATAAGGTCACTACATCTTTTTTGGTATTATTCTTCTATTTAAGTTATCTATATTTTATACAAATTTATTTAGTATTAATTGTTGTTTTTTTTTTTAAAATATTAAGATAAGTACTTGCAACCCAGGATTTTATTGATAATATATTTAACTAATGGATGCTTTACAACCACAGAGGGCAACCACGAAAAGAGTGTACAACTAGCCACTTATATAACTTTAGTTATTGTCTAATTTAAGTAGTCTGCCTGAAAGTTCTATACTAGCTGCCATACCTGGAACCTGCTTGTAGGTTCTCTATTTAACTATTCTGTTTCTGTATCTACTCACCTACTTTTGTCTACCAATGATTCCAGCTGATGCTAATTAAAATATGCCATGATTACTAAGTCTTTAAAACAGTTAACTTATATAGAGAACCTTTGAACTTGTACTAAACCTTTCAGAATCTTCTGTACTCCATTCTTACAGCTAACTTAATATTGTTATGGCTGAGACCAACACTGACAATTAAGGTGTATCATTAAACTACTATGTCTTTGTAGAGGTTATTTCAATCCTGGTATTGACTTTACAATATATCTTTATTACTTTAATATTCAATTCAAGTTCTACTAAGCTGTTATTTCAGATAGCCTAGAAAGGTAGAATGAGACTATACTTTTGGTTTACATATTTGTCAGTATGTACTTTTTTTCTTAAAATCTAGAAATTCTGACAGCCTGGTTGGTTTATCTGGTCTCTTCTCAAAGACTAACATATTTGTCTAGTTTCACAAGTTCTAACTCTATTTTATAAGTCTAGTCTTTACAGTAACACTGTCGGAAGTTCAGGTTACCTTACTACTTGGGTCTTCCAAGTGGGCTTCTATCTTTCTATCTGGTTTCTATAATTTACATGACCTAAAGACTTATCTTGAGTTCATACCACCTGTATTAGTTTGTGTTTTCTTGTATAATGTTGTACAAGTGCCTAAACCTTCTAGTCATGCTGGTATGACACAGGTTATAGGTATCTTATTCCAACCAATCATGGAAGCAGTTAGCCATAATACAGAAAGAATTACAAATTTTTACCATCACTGGGATTTGAACTCTAGACCTGCCACTTGGGGTTGACAACCTATCCACTTCACTAGGTTACCACACCCCCTTTAGTATTAATTGTTTAATATATACATCTTGTATTATTGTTATATTTTTTATTTGTTATAGTTTTTATTTGTTACTCTTTTATTTATTATATTTTTTTATTTGTTAACCTTTTATATATTATACCTTTTAAAATTATGACATCTATCTAATTATAATATTAATTATTACTATAACAAATAGAATAGTTAAAGTAGAATCTTAATTCAAACAATTGTAAATTAAATTTATTTAAAAAACACAATACTTTAGAGTTTCTGAACAAACTATTTTTATAATTTTTTTTATAATATTTATTATATTAACTTTACTTCTTGGCTCTATAAAATTAATAATTTAACTTCAATCAGTTAACCTCTAATTCAAACTACTTTAACAATTTCTGTTAAACATTTTACAAAAATCTCTAATAAACTACTTTTACAATTTCTGTTAAACAATTTACAAAAATCTTTAACAAACTATTATCTTTTTTATTACTACACAATAACAACAATTAAACAACTTTTTATCAATATTTAGTATCTTATTTTTTGATTTCAAACAGCTTATATACTAACAATAATTATTGTACACTTTTAATACACATTGCTGCTTTAGATGCAATATTAAAGATATTGCTTGTATAGCTACAGAGCAAAGAATCATGTTTCGGATTACTCTGTTTCTACAATCTTTAGAATTTATTTTTTTTTGCACAGACTCTGGATTTCTAAAATCTTAGATATTTGCTTGTATTATAATAAACACTCCAAAATTAGTAATCAGTAAAATTAACTTTGTATTATATATGAGTGTGTGAGTGAAAACCTGAAAACCGATCATAGTAAATCATTAAATCAGTTTACAGGTTTTCACTCTCACGCACTTATATAGTACTTTATTATATTAGATGAAAAAATCTTACCTCTTTCCAATAAAAATCATTACTTCTACTACAAGAAATTTTGCAAAAATCAGTATACTATCTTTTTGCATTTTATGTTATGCATTAAAACATAATCATACTGGTAATAAAATCACTTTAAATGTATTTTTCATATAATGAATACACATAATAGTCATAAATGTAATTAATTTAAAATTCATAAGTTTATACTTGATGCAATCTACTTTATAGCTAATACAAATTACTCAACGTCAATATAAATAATATTTAATAGGCTTTAACCAAATATTTGTTACTTCAAATTTTTATAAAATATTTGCAAAAATCTTAGTCAAAATGCACTAATACGAAATAGTAATCTCAATACATGTCGTAATAATGATATC